CGGAACATTGTTACTGTATGTCTGTTCACGGAACAGGGCTCGCATGAGAGGTTCTGGTTTAGTTACCTTTTCCTTTTGGTTTATGTTTATATGTGTTCTATTTTTTCCCCATTCATATGTGTAAAGGGTAAAGAATTAAGTGATTAACAGAATATGTGGTTTATTTGTGTGTATGTGTTTTAATGATTTTTTCCCATTCTTTTATGTTAAGGAGGAATTAGTGATTTTAAAAAGAGGCATAGAACGGAAAAAAAAATGTAACATCAATGTTAATAGGATGTTATGGGAGTGAGTTAGATGTGGCATAACCAGTGTTTGTTTCTATCGTTATTGCTCTGTTGGATATGAGGTTATGCAATTTGCTAAATAATGATTGTTCATATATATAGAGATAATGATCTTTTTATCTATATAATGTTTACATCTTTTTTATAAAAGAAAAAATAATACTAGTCACTTGTGTATAAAATTATAAATAAAATAATAAAAAAAAATAAGTGTTGATCACTGATAAATGTTGTTTTTTCGAGTAAAGTATATTATTTTTATATAAGTAAACATGCAATGTATAAGTCACTAAACAAAAAAACAAAACAATAACAAAAACAAACAAGCCTGGACTAATACACGTAACCCTTCATCCTTTCTACTTCATCTTTTGAGGCTACTCGCTCTTGGCGGTGAAATAAATAGTTTTGACGTTTTGAGCCTGCAAGCTGTGACGTTAAATATTAGTATTGGATAAAACCCTTCACCAACGTCAGCCATCAGAGTGCTAAGAAACGATAGTCTTTTCTCTCCCTTTCATCTCCCTGTCTTTATCTACGATATAGGGCTCTACTTCTATCATATATCGTAATCTTTATACAGAGGGATTAGGGGACGGTACGAGGATTTTTTGCTATCTAGTCTGTCATTTCTCATAAAACTCTCACTATCTCTCTTGCCTCATCGCTCTTCTCCTATCCCATTATTCTGTCTCTCCCCCTCCCTCCCCCTTTTCTCTCTCTCTCTCTCTCCTCATCTCTCTCGCTCGCTCGCTCCTCGATCCACTCTATCTATATCTCACACGGTTTCATCTTCATCTCTCTCTCTCCATCTATACATCCCCCCCTTCTATCTTGATCTATTCTCTCTTCACTCTACTCTCCTCATCATCTTACCTTCCTGCTTCACACCACAAACACTATCTACTCGCTCTTCACTTCTTCTTTCTTGCTCTTCCCCCGCTCGTAGCCTCTACTTTATTTACTCATCATATCTTCTATTTCCCTTTCTTCTCTAGTACCCTTCCCACCACCCCCTCTACTCTCTACCTCGTCTAACTCTAATACTGTTATTTCTCTAGAACTACAGACCACCAGCGCAAAACAGGAAAACGTAAATTTCACACCCCTTTAATTTTCAGTCTCCTATGCCCCGTTACAATCTTATCTCCACGTTCTCATTCCTTAATCTAGCTCTATTTCATCTCTGGGACCAATTCTAAGCTATCCACGCCAGTGCCTCATCCGACCGTAACGCTCTCTTTAGTCCACTGATTAAAGAACGACAGAACAATACAAGACGAAATCATAAAAAACAGATTACACTATACATCTATCAAACGCGCATCTACTTTGGTACCCAGCAGCGAGACATATCAACAGGAAAAGATTTTCCTATCCCTCAAATCTACCTAATCACTCTAGTCTAGTTATTAATCGTCCCTCTATCAATCTATTTTATCTATTTTATCGCTCTATATATAGACTAATCTACTTTTTTTTTTGTTAACTGATTCTATCGATTTTTTTTTTTTTTATCTTACCAATTTCCAACTCAAGATGTCCTTTTCCATCATTCTATTTTCGCCTTTGAATACTTCATATACTCTGCAAGCAAGGAATAAACGTTGTTCTGAGAAGGCCTTCGGTAACCGTCGCTGTGCGAGGGTAATTGGAAAAAATGTTTATTTTATTAACCTGGATTGAATTTCTTTGTCTTTTTCTCTCTTTGGTTTCTCCGTTCATATGCAGGTACAGGCCCAAGCGAAAAGCAAGAGGCGTTCATTCATGTGAATTCGTACAAAAGGGATTCGGTTAATATCAAACGCAGAAAGAATGAAGACAAAATTCGAGCACACAGTAGCGGACACACACACAACACACACACACGAGCACACACACACACACACACACACACAGCACACACACACACAACACCACACAACACACACCACACACACACACACTACACACACACACACACACGGCACACACACCGTATCAATATTCGCATAAGAAACACTGAAAACCGAACTCTAATTCCGGAAAACAAAATCGGGAAATGAACTTTGATGACGTCACCTCTACGTCATCGCCACTCCAGAAAAAATACTTGCGCATGCGTCAGACAAGCGCACAAGAAGCTTAATCAAAACACAATGTATTCAGATGATCCTGTGCTTGTATATATAATCTTGATTAAGTGAGAGATCTAAGTTCGGTGGACCTTGTTC